GTGCTGCTGAGAGCCACAGAGACTCTTTTCTGTTGGAGGGAACGCCTCTGTTTATTCTCCTTTCCTCAGCCATGTATCAGTCTAAATGAGTCTCTCTGTGTGTTTATTTTCTCAGCCTTTCGAGGGTTATGTTTGGAGGGCTTTATTGTTTTGGGGCACATGATGTACTTTTGTAGAAAGGCATGTATAAAAAGTATAGGTTGCTGTTTGTGTGCGTGTAGTCTTAGGCTCTTGGAGGGAGTGCACTAAAAGGCCTCAAGCATTTTCCACAATGACTGTTTTTTCCAGCGTATTATGCAGCTGCCCAGACAATAATGCCCTATTGTTTTATGCATGCATAAGTGTGTTTATGTTTGTGTGTGTGTGTGTACGTGCAGATACAATGGCTCTCTGCCCAACGGGGATCGGGGGCGACGTAAAAGCCGCTTTGCACTTTGCAAGAGGCCGAAGGCAAACGGGGTGAAGCCCAGCACAGTTCACGTCGCCTGCTCTCCGCAAGCAGCCAAGGTGAGACGCACAAAAACACGACCTTTTAGACTTACAAGTGATCGCAAAGCTGCAGCCGTCAGTTAGATTCATTAAACATATGGCTTAAACATTTAATGATGGAAAATTGCATTCTTTAATTCATCTCTGCGTAGGTGTGGGATGTTGTTTTTATGAAAACGTCAAATACAAACACACTGGTTCAGTGGTTTTGGCCTGCAGTGCTCCAACAAAGGCTTTTGTGAAACTCTGCTTTTTTGTTCTGTGATATTAAAGTACTGCACACAATGAATCTCACAAACACACACGCAATTGTCAAGAGAGAAAAGGAAAAAAAGCTCAGCAGAGCTTCCCTGAGTTTGCAGAACAAGGAAAGAAAATCAGGTACAAGGTTTTGTCAAGGTTTTAAAATATATTTGGACAATGGTTTTTACATGGGATTTAACTGGAACATGGTCAAGGTTTATAAGAGAAACAAATGTGAGCTGTCCTGTGGAAGGTAACTGAGCATTTTCTTGCAAAATCCAGGGTAGAACACGTTCATGTGTTTCCATCATCAGCCCAAAGACTTGCCCAGAAATCCACTAAAATCTGTTAAATGATCAGGGAATTATAGTTATGTATGTGTGTGAGAGAGTGCTTTTTCGGTTTGACATCTGCACATAATGGCTTCTCTGAGAACGCACACTTTTATTCCCTGACTCACACACGCACTCGCACTCAGGCCAGGCTTTAGCTGCAGTCTGGAAGAGCGATTGTCCGTTTCTGTCCTGTGTGTGGTCCTAACTGACCAAAAAGAACATGGATCCAGTTAATGATTACACATCTCCACCCTTCCCGTGTGCATCTGTTATTTTCTGCAAGGATCATTGAGGAGATGTCAGCGGTGTTTTTGATAGAAAACATGCTCAGTTCAGTGTTCTGTATTTTAAGTGAAGGGTTTGATTCTGCTTTCGTTGCTGATCTGATCTCTTCCTTCTGTCTTTCCAGGCCATAAGCAACAAAGACCAGCACAGCATCTCTTACACTCTGTCTCGAGCCCAGACGGTGGTGGTGGAGTACACCCACGACAGCAATACAGACATGTTCCAGGTAACAAGCCCCAGCTTTTATCACCGTGCCTGGAGTTTTACAACCAATTCGCAGTCCTTATTTTTTCCACTTCACTGCTCCACTCACACACATATTAAATAGAGGCTGGTAACAGAGCATCTGCGTGTTTAGTGCAGGGATTTTCGATCTTTAAAGCAGAGCCCTTGAAGGGACGCAGGAATGAGAGACATGAGGCACGCTGTGTGAGGTGAAGTGCATGATGTCTTTCTGAAAATAATGGGGAGTTAGTTGTTGTGGTTTGGCCCGCTTATCAACACAGTCAGCAGTTGGATCTGCAGCAGTGGAATTGACACATAGACACTTAAGATACTTTGAAACCTCAGTCCTGATTACAGCAAACTGCTTCCAAATTTGTACCTCTCGTAATAACGCACCCTTTATTCCAATGTGCACCATGAATAAAGGGCTACAAATGGACTTGGTAATGCTAAGAAAAAAGCCTCTTTGAAAAACAATATCAAAGTACTTCACTTGTAGTTGTCTGTGCACTAAAACAGGTTCAGCATCTTCATGATGTGCCATATCTCAAAGTATAAACCAGAGATTCTTTTTGAGCTTTATCCATATCAAGTCACCAATAAAAAGGGATCAAAGCTGAATTTTAGTTAATAAAAAAATAGCACAAAAACATCACCAGAGTTTTGTTTTCTATACAAAAATCTTCTGTATAGTCCACATCCCCCTGGATGAGCCACAGTTTGAGAACCACTGGTGTATACAAATGTAAATGTAGAAATGTTTTTAATTTTAAAAAAGGCCCTTAATGTAACACCTCTCCATGAATCGCCACCTTATCGTGGTGGAGGGGTTTGCGTGCCCGTGTGATCCCAGGAGCTATGTTGTCGGGGGCAACTTGCCCCTGGTAGGGTCTCCCAAGGCAAATTGGTCCTGGGTGAGGGGCCAGACTAAGTGCGATTCAAAAAAAGAAAAGCAAAAACAACAAAAACAAAAAACGTAGAAGTACTGCCCAGATTAGGAAACTACCCAGGAGCCTCGGTGAATGGGCTTGTTGTCAGCTCAAGCGATGTTCGACTCCACCATCCTGTCAGTTTACCACCTGCAAAAGGATCCATGGGGGTCCGGTGCTTTGTGTATTCACGGAGGTGTTGGCGGGATAATCCCTGGCGCCCTAAACTGCGCATAAGAAAAGGCAGAACTGTTCGTTTATTGGCCGATCTATGAAAAAAAGAATAAGATCCCAAATGCAAGCTTGGTCATTTGAAAGGAGGAGGTTTAAGTGACGTCCTACTAGAGGGAGGCAAGTCCAGGACACATTTCTCAGTTGGCTTGGGAGCCCTTCAGTGTCCTCACCAGAAGAGGGGTAAAGGGAAGTCTGGGTGTCCCAGACATGCATAAGCAGCAGAAAACGGATGCATGCTTGGATATAAAATGATCTTTACATCAGATGGAGTTTAAATGAAATGGTAAATGTTAAAATTTCTATTATGTTTTTTTTTTTTTTGCCTGATGACCTTAACTGGTGAGTCGCCTTAAGCTTGGAAAAAACAGTCTACTGCTCTGCTGGTGCTTTCAGCCATGTCACATAATGACTTCTTTCCATCTGGTGACATTAACTCTTGGAACTGACTGTGTCCTGATCTCACTGTGTTGAGTAATAAAATGAACCAATCGTGAATCATTCATCTTAGTCAGATTTGGACAAAAGATATTACTGCATCAGTAAAGTTTTTAACACAGAATTTCTCCAAAGTCATTGTGTTTTGTCTTGACTAGCACTAACACTGAGGCTTTCCTGTGTGGTGTTTATGGTACTCTGGTGACGCTATCAGGGAAGTAAAGTACTCATCTTTAGGGGTTTTATGGGTTTTATACAAGTTTGCAATGTATGTGAAGCAATTCGACTCTACTTAAAAGTCTCTAGCATGTCTTTGCTCTGCGTATTGTCTGCTATTAAAGATTATCCAACTGTCTTGGCTTATGTATTTCAAATTTCCTAATGGATTCCATCCTGGACACATTCTGCATCCATTTAGCAGTTTTTGTCTCCATTTTCTGTTATGTTTTTCATCCTACCAGCTTCCCCTGAGGTAATACATCATTATATTATCACATCGCTGAAAAGCATTGTGGGCTAATCTTTCCATCTCTCTTCTCCAGATCGGTCGATCCACAGAGAGTCCAATAGACTTTGTAGTGACGGACACAGTGGCAGGCAGCCAGAGTAATGCAGACACTCAGTCGGTCCAAAGCACCATCTCCCGCTTCGCCTGCCGCATTATGTGCCAGCGCACGCCGCCTTACACAGCGCGCATTTACGCCGCAGGCTTCGACTCTTCCAAGAGCATCTTCCTCGGGGTGAGCACTGTTTCATCTGGAGCTTCAGACACGTGTGGGCGAGTTTGTGAGAGCAAAAAGGCAGAAGGATGAGAGAAGGAAAGACTAAAGAACCACAGGACAAAGAGGAAAACAAGACATGAAAGACGTGTCGTAGAGCGTGTGCTCTCATATTATTCTAAAACCTTTAACCTGCTTTTACTTTTCCCATGTTCTTGTTTTTACTGTCCTTCTCAATTTGTCATTGTTTGACAGCAGAGGACAACAACTGATGGTTTCCTGTTAGTGCTCTTGGTGGCAACACTAAACTCACACATGCTCAGTAGAGAAAGCTCAGTCTGCTAAATATGTATCTGCACGTTGTCTGCTAAATATGATAGGAGGTTGGACGAAGGGCTGCTGAACGCATATGAACATCAGCGTGTTTTTTTTGCTTCATTCAGGAGAAAGCTGCTAAGTGGAAGACATCTGATGGTCAGATGGACGGGTTGACCACCAACGGCGTGCTGGTGATGCACCCTCGCAACGGCTTCAGCCAGGACTCCAAACCAGGCGTCTGGAGGGAGATCTCAGTCTGCGGCAACGTCTTCACCCTGCGAGAAACGCGCTCAGCACAGCAGCGGGGAAAGATGGTAGGAACACATGCAAAACTGTTTACTTTTTTTCCATAGGTGCATCTACTTAAAATTTTATACAAGTTTGAATCTCGCTGACCCTGAGGTCAGGTTTTTCTGAAAAAATATATACAATAGGTGTGTTTACTAGGAAGCTGAGGGGAAGCGCTGGTGGATGCCAACATTTTTGACACTGTGGCTTGTCATTTTTCAGCTCCACAGGTTTCAGCTTGGTCTCCACTAACTCCTAGCAACCGGTGCCAATTAAGGAAGTTATTGCCACGCTTTGTCACCAAAAATAGTCAATTCTGGCCAAAAGTCAAAGGAGCTTGCAAAGAAAAGCGTCTGGACTTCTTTAAGTTGCTTGAAGACATTTCACCTCTCATCCGAGAAGCTTCTTCAGTTCTAATGTCAAATGGTGTTTGACCAGGGTTTCGGGTGAGCTCATTGTGAACAATGAGCTCACCCGAAACCCTGGCTGATTGGGACCCACACCCAGTTTCACACCTTGGCTCAGGCGATTAGAGGATCATCAGGGGGTCCTTTGTCCCTCTGTGGGGGGATACTCCCACTAGGTTTAAATCTGGGACTCTCCACCATTTGACCTTAGAACTGAAGAAGCTTCTTGGATGAGAGGTGAAACGTCTTCAAGCAACTTAAAGAAGTCCAGACGCTTTTCTTTGCAAGCTCCTTTGACTACGATGACCTGGATGACTGAGAACCTTCACAGACATTCTGGCCAAAAGTTATGAGTTCCTGCATATTTCCACTTTTTTAAAGTTGTCAGGAAATAGTCACAGTAATTAGTAAAATAAGGTTAAAAGAAGAAACTCTCAGGAGCACAAGGGGGGACAGCCCAGATATGAAGGGTGAGGAAAAGTAGCGAGTTCTAAAAGTTGCATAATTGTTGCACAGACATTATCACACGTTCAGTGATTATTAGCATCTAAATGTTAATGTTTATTTTGATTTGAGCATTTTAACCTGTTTTAATCGCTGCTAAAAACGCATGAAAACCTTGAAATGCAAAGTTCTTGGTCTTTGCCTTTTTAGAGGTAATTTTTTCTTCTACAATCACAAATATTGTGATTTTCTTGCAGAACTGCTGTATCGCGATGCCACAGTTATCGCGGGATATGTATCATGAGTTACTGTGATTAAAATGATGAATGCATTTTCAGTCTCTCTGCTCCGTGGCAACCAGTTAACCGCAAAACATATTTCCCTCGCACACATTCCATCACAGCATCTCATACTTCATCACAATCGCATAGCAGCGCTGTCACTCAGGCAGCAGGAGGTCAGTCAGAGCGTAACACCCACCAGGAGGTCACTGGGATGCTATCTCCATGGCAGCAGGCCCTCCTGTCGAAGCTGTTTGTAACAAGACCATGTAAGGGATCCTCCTGCTGACGTCACAGTCTCCCAGCCAGTCGCGGCGCTGTCTGCGTCTCATCAGTGTGGACAGTTGTCTGATTGGATTTACGAGGCTGTTGGGATGTTTCATTAGGTCTTTGTTTCTTCTCCTCTTCCTCCTCCTCTCCACAAGATGTATATCATCAGCCACGCGCACACAGTCAGCAGCCGTAATATTAATCCATCCCTTTATCGAGTGTCCCACCTGCTCTCAAGTCTTTCCACAAATTAACAGCTCCCTTATCTCCACCTGACCTTTCCCATCCACACACTTACCAGTGTTATCCACCTCTACAGCATCCACTCGTTATTTCACAGCTGATTGATCTTTTGTATTGCCAGCTGCGGGACAGCACATATTTTCATTACGCACGGTAACAAAGCGTGATGGTGTTTAAACCGTCTGCACATACGAGTGGTTACTGCTCAGGTGGAGTCCTCTTTCATTGTCAGCGTCGCTACAGTTGGGGTAACATCACTACACAAGATGAAAGGCTGTGAGACTTTACTGCAAAGATAACTTGTGCTTTCTTAAAACATGTTTCTTTAACATGGGACTACAACAAGAAGCCTTAACTCTAAAGAGGATGTTGGAGCCCTGGTTTGAAATATTACACCCATTGTTATTTTGTTGTATGTGCTATTACAGAGAGATACAGAAAAGGAAAAACATGAATTGAATTTTAAAATAATAATAAAATAATAATAATAATAATTAAAAAAAATAATTAAAAATAAT